CGCGGCGGCTGGGCAGCTGTGCTCGGCGCACCGGGGGCCGGATGGCGGCCGGACTGCTGCTGGGGCCGCTGCTGGGGCGGTCGCGTCACTGCTTGGGGCCGACACCGCCGTGGGGAGAGGGGACGGGGGGCCGCAGCGTCCGGGCCTGTAGCTCCGCGTCCGCCCCGGACGGCCTCGAAGGCCCGGCGCGCCAGCGGTCTTACTGGCGCTACGTGCGGCGCCTGGTGCGGGGGGCGCCCGAGCCGCCGTACCCGCGCGTGTGTCAGGTCGGGGACCCGGCGCTGCGGGCCGTGGCGGCCCCGGTGGAGCCCGCGCAGCTGGCGGGGCCCGAGCTGCAGCGGCTGGTGCAGCGGCTGGTGCAAGTGATGCGACGCCGGCGCTGCGTAGGCCTGAGCGCTCCGCAGCTCGGGGTGCCGCTACAGGTGTTGGCCCTGGAGTTCCCCGAGGCACTCTTCCGCGCCTGCGCGCCGCGCCTGCGCGAGGCCCGCCAGATGGAGCCCTTCCCCTTGCGCGTGTTCGTGAACCCCAGCCTGCGGGTGCTGGACAGCCGCCTGGTCACCTTCCCTGAGGGCTGCGAGAGCGTCGTCGGCTTCCTGGCCTGCGTGCCCCGCTTCCAGGCCGTACAGATCTCAGGTGCAGGGGGTGGGCAGTGGCCGTGGGGCGGTTGGATAAACGGTTGCGTCCCTCCCCCAGCCCATGGAGGCGGCGACCTCGGGCCCCACGAAACGGTTTTGTCAAAACTCCAGTTAAAAGTGGAAGGGCAGGCTCAATGAAGCCTTCCGTCAGGAATTAAGAGCAGGACCGGGGAGTGGATTTGATTCAAGACTAACCAATTGGGATAGGGGAAGAGGCTCGTGTAGCAGCTGAGCCAGCTCGCTGGGAAAATGTATTGGGGCTGAGAAGGTGACCTAATTCGATGGTACCTCACACCAGGTCCTCTGCTCTGTGCCCTCTAGTTCGCTGTCCTGGTCTGTCGTAGTACAGGATGTTTTCTGAAATGGAATTCGTTGCTGGGATTAGGATTGTTCATTTTAAGCAAGCCACTTGGTCCAGGTCAGAAGGTAAATGGTATCCCTTTATTTTATAATGTACCGAGTTGAAATGCTTTTAGGAATTGAAGTCAAACAGTATTTCAGAAATGAGAGGAATGTTCAGAAAGGAAGCACCTTACGAAGATCATTTCTCATTTCAGCCCCATAGTAAGCCCAGCAACCTAATTGTCAGCGTTAGAGCCACAGTGAATACCTGGTAATGGGCAAAGTTAAGGCATCTTTTCTGGGAAGGATAGGGGTTACTGTCTACATTCCCTTCTCATGTTGCCTCTTGTGAGCAGGAACAGCCAAGGGCTGGGAAAAGTAGGGAGATTAAAAACAATGCAGTTCGGCGTATTCTTACCCAGGCTGTAAATTACTTTGCAGGGCTGGACCCCAGAGGGGAGCAGGTGGTGTGGCAGGCGAGTGGATGGGCAGCCCGTATCATCCAGCATGAGATGGACCATTTGCAGGGCTGCCTGTTCATCGACAAAATGGACAGCAAGACATTTACAAACATCCACTGGATGGAGGTGAATGATTAGTTTTCCTGCTGCACCTGAGGATTCTGGAAACCAAAACACAAACACCTGGGCTCTGAGCTGGGACTGGCTCGCTTGACGTCAACTTGATATTGGCTTGACTCTGACAGAAAACAATGGATTGCCAAACCAAACTGGAGAAATATGTTCAAAATGTTTGCCCTGAAACCAGCCATGGACAAAATACTGCCTCCAACTTGAGAAGAAAATAAATTTCTCCAAAGAGAGAACATTTCCTAATGATTTTGTATGGTAAAACGTGAGGCAAAATAAATAACCACTCTTAGTAGACATGATTTCATAGACCTGTATAATCTGTCCCAACGCCAAGATTTGATAATAACATAGTCCCAAAATATCTGAAAGCTTTGCTTAAAAGTGCAGGTTAAGGCTGTGGTTGACCAACTTCACAGAGTTCTTTTTACAAAGGGCTTATGTATCATACCTGCGGAATCCTTCTTTGCCTTGGACACCAGTGTGCGTGTGTAAGTGAAACAGGATGGCCACAGTTCACAGAAGTGTTTAATGACAATATTAACGTAAATGAGTACCCACACATTTTACCAGGTTTACACAGTTTTGATCTCCACCTTCTGCCTTCTACCTTTAGCAGATTTGGGGATGATTTTCCTGCTGAGATCTCTTGGGCAGCTGGTACTCTTTGGGTGGAGGTCATGGAGCATGGCTAGGGGAAGGATGATAGTTGAGACGGAGCAATGAACCTCTTCCTGTCACAGTTAGAAAGCAAAATGTGCTTCCTGGTCACCACACTTGTTTTGAAAAAATAAATTAGCATCACGCTGACCAATGAGTAGCCATAAGACACTGTAAAAGCTTTGTCAGGAGATGAAGGAACTTGTTTCTCAAGATACTGGTTTTGCCTCATTTTTATGTTGAGTGTTTTACAAGGCAGGTACCGATACCAAACAGAGCCCTCAAAATCCAAGTACCCATGTAGTAAGTCCAGTAAGTTATTTAGAAAAAAAACGTGTTTTATTTATTTAATGTTTGTTTATTTTGAGAGACAGTGTGAGCTGGGTGAAGAGGAGAAGGAGGAGGGGCAGAGAAAGGAGGAGAGAGAGAGAATCCCAAGCAGGCTCCACGCTGTCAGTGCAGAGCCCAACGTGGGGCTTGACCTCACAAACCATGAGATCATGGCCTGAGCCGAAACCAAGAGTCAAACACTTAACCCGCTGAGTCACGCAGGTGCCCCAGAAAACAACATGTTTTAAACAGCAGCTGGCTAAACAAACCCAGGAAAGATCCACTCTCCTGTACGGCTTTCTCTAAACAGGCCGTCTGGGAGTCATACTATGAGGCCAAGCAAAAGGGAACTGGCTCTCTGTGCATTAAACTTTGGAAGGGAACAGGTGCCAGCATTGCTCCAAGGTTAGATACTCAGCCCCTGGGGAAGTCTATAGAAAACTCTTATTCATACTAAAAACATGGATCCTTATGAAATTAGAATTCAATGAGCCTCCATTCCCTTGGACAATGTTTATAACCTCCTGCAGGGTGGCATCAGAATATTCTAAAAATTTTTTTAATGTTTATTTATTTCTGAGACAGACAGAGACAGAGCACGAACGGGGGAGAGTCAGAGAAGGAGACACAGAATTTGAAGCAGGCTCCAGGCTCTGAGCTGACAGCACAGAGCCTGACGCGGGGCTTGGACTCACAGACTGTGAGATCATGACCTGAGCCAGAGTCGGAAGCTCAACCAATTGAGCTACCCAGGTGCCCCAGGCATCAGAATATTCTAATGTTTCCTTACACCTTACAGTGCTCTGAGGTTAACAGTTCTTACTGATGCCTTTGTAATGTAGGTCTGTAACATTTGACTGAAGCTTCCTGACCTGGGGGCCCAAGAGTATATGGTAGCTCAGAGTGGACCTTAGAGAAAGCTTGAAACTGTCTATATTGCTGACAACTTGAAGTTTACTATTGTAACCAAATCCACTTAGAGGAAGGATCTGTTCAAGTAAATACTGTAGACCAAAGGCAACAAATCTGGATTTGTAATAAAATCTCTCCCATCTCAGGCAGATACATCAGCCAGCAATCAGCATCTCGAGCTAAGGAAAGTTTTAGAGGTCAACTACCAAAGTGAAAGCCAAGGTAGACAGAAGGTTTAGGGTAGAATTCCCAAGTAGGGAAGAGGGAATTTCACGGTTACATTTAGGGGAGGAAATTCCTCTGCACATATTAGCCATGTTTAACATAGATGGTGAAGCCACCGCATCGGTTCAGCCCCAAATGTGAATAGGACATTCGTCACCCTGCTCCGAGTCACTGGTGGTGGAGACAGGAATGGAGAGGCATGGCGTGCTGTGATGAGCCACAGCAGCCCCAGTTTCCGTTAACCCCTGTGACTTGTCAAGGTGTTTAAGCAGTAGAAAGGAAGATTAAAAAATAAAGTGAGGAGCTCCTGATTCAAGTAAAGGTGACTGGAGGCAGAATAAGAAAACACAAAAGGCTAAAAGGAAACCGCACAAGCAGAGGCAGTGTCCTATGCTGGCTTCTAGTCCAGCACTTACAAACAGTAATTGGTGGCTGAGGCAGCAGGTTATCGAGGCAGGGCTAACGCACCCAAGTGGAGAGGAGCGCTTGGGCCCGAGCCTTCAAGGAACCCATCAAAAGCAGGCTCAATTCAGCAGCCATTCCTAACCAAATCAAAGAACACCACAGTGGCAAGGCTAACGCGATCTAAGGTGGGCCACGTAATCCATTCTGGACAATTCGGGTTTTACTAAGATATAGAACAATAATACCGGCTTCTTGACGGGGAGGAGGGCTGGAACAACCCGATGCCGGGCCTTCTGTATGTTCACACGCGTGTGGTCAAAATGCGACAGCCTCCTCGACAGACGGCATTTCTAGGGCTGCCCGCTCTGGAGCCTCGGGCGTCTCATGATCAGGAGTCACAAATCCAAATGGCCACAGGGGCTGGGCAGGCAACGCAAGGGAAAGAAGCAGTCCATGTGGGGATGGCTGCGCCGGACAGCGTGTTCTCCTCCTGAACAGCGCAGCCCCTGCTCGGCTGCGGCTGACAGGATGTCTCACGGGGACGCAGGCCCAGAGTTGCCCGATGTCCCCAAAGCCAGAACTCTGAATTTCCACATCAACTCTCTTGCTTTTTCAATGCTGGGAGCAGACCAAAGCAAACACAGCTGCAGGCCGTGTCTGGCCCACAGGCCCCCCGGTTTGCAGGGAGAACTGTCCAGGTCCCACATTTGCAAGGCCTTAAGGCGAAAAAAGTTCTGGCCGACCTGACCGGAGAACAGGCTGCGGAACTGTGACAGCTGGCAATGCCCTCCTCTGCTGACGAGAAGAGCATGGAGAGAAAACCAGAGGGTCTTTCTACTGGAAGCAGCGTGGCCTTCAAGAAGCCCCAGACAGGAATCAAAGATGAGATCACTCAGGTGGCTCAAGAGGGAAAAGGATTTATTAGCCCATTTCCAGGGCGGGGTGCCAGGGGCAGTGGCTGGGTTCAGCGTTCTCACATTCAGAGGGAAGAGAAGGCAGCAGTGAAACCCTACCTGACTGCCCTCACTCATTCTGATCTACATAGCTTTGTGCTCACAAAAACCATCCTCTCCTCCTGCAGGGAGGACACAGGGCCGGGGATGCTGACGTAGGGGTTGGGAATGGCTTGGCTTTACTCTCAACCTTTACAGGCAGGGCTTGGGCTGGCGACCCAGGGCATTCGCCATTGTGTGCACAAGGAGTAAAACTTGGGTTAGAAGGAAAGGGCGGAGGGAGCTGGCAAGACATTCTGACGGTCTGCACGAGCCCCACAGTGTGGGCTGCTCCTACTCCTTGACGCTTCTGGGAGATTTTAACTTTATTTATAAAGAAGACAAAAATCCAAGCAGCATTAATTTAGGGGAACAAAGAAAGGTTCAAAAAACAAAACAAAACGTGGAGGGGCAGGACAAGGAGTTGATGAGCATCCAGAAGAAGAGAACCAGTAGGAAGAAGTAGGAAGAACCAGTATTCCACCCAGTGCCGAATGTGCTTCTGTGTCTCTGTGGCCCCGGAGGCCCTTCCTTCCCACTCCCCGGCTGGTGGCCAGACAGCAGAGGGGACGCCAGAGTGACGTGAAGATGAGCCCCGGGGCCCTGTCTGGCTGCTGACATGGGGGGTGCCGTGGATTTTTTTTACCCCAATCAATTCCTCCCACCTTCACCATCACCGAGTGAAGAAATTTTTAACTCTCCTGTCCAAAGTCCTCTGAGAATTTCTTCACTTTCAGGAGGTCCTCTGCATTCACGGTGGGCCGAGTGGTAGCCAGGGACCGGAGCATGTCCGACTGCAAAGACAAGGGCACGAAGCTGAGGAGCCAGGCTCCAGGTCCTCGGCCTCCCCGTGTCACAGAGCCATGTGGTCCAGGGCAGGAAGAGGCCTCCCCTCGTGGTCACTCCCAGCCCCAAGTGCAAAGCTCCCCTTGGTTGCCCAGCTTCTGCTTGAATGTCTCCTGTGACAGGACAGCTCTTCCCTCCTGAGGCAGCTCATGTCGTTTCCAAACAGGCCCACTCCTCATCTGAGAGAATCCAAGCTCCCCTCATCTCTTAACTCCCACGAGAAGCTCTTTCTGACTCCACACCCACCACACCAGCCGCACTGGCAGGACACCTGCCACACGCAACAGGCAAGACCGTCAACAAGACCAGGATGAGGAAAGGGCCAGACTAGTCCCATGAGGCTGCCTGTGCAACAGCATCAAAGCAAACTGCTGAAAGACACTGTTTCCTTCTGGGCACAAAGCAAGCCAAACCCGTGGAATGATGCAGTCACACCAGCTGGCCTTTTTTCTTGCTGAAGAAAGTAAAATGCTAACACTATGGCCTCATCCTGGGCCCGCAGTAAGTCTAATGGCAGGAGCTCCAGCTACCCAGAGCCCCATCGGCCATTCTGTTTGGGAGGAGGCACAACAGCCCAGGACAGAGAAGCAGAGCTTATTTTCAGACCCAAGGCCCCAATTTTCTGGTCTCTGTGCAATCCCTGGCCCAGCCGGCTGCTTACCATGCAAACCACAGGCTCTAAGAGTTTGTCACCAGGGACATCCATCCAAGTCATCTCCATGGCCTCTGGGTCCCCTGGGGAACATGGGGTCAGGAGGTCATCGATCATAACGCTAGGGTTGGTGCGGGAAGGGCCACAGACCTGAAATCAAAGAGGAGTCTGGCTGGAGGGGTTGCCCCTCAGCACTTGGGGAAGAGACAGGATGCCTCAGGTTCTGAGTCACGAAGAGAAGGGAATGGTAGGGAATGAACGCACGCCTGAGTTTCGAGGTCATCAGTCTGAGAAGGCAATGACTCCTTCAAAACTCGGGTTGGTAGTCAAAGTAGCTCGAAGTAGGATCTCAGAGGTTTGTGATTAGCCTGCTATTCCAGGCGCTGTTCTCCAGAATCTCAGTTTGGGGTCCAGAGTGCCCTGATATCTTCCTCTTGCTCATCCACTCCGTCAGATCTCACCACAAATGCAGTGACATCAGAAATGTCTTTCCAACCAGTCTGCTTTATTGGCAACATCCCCCTGAATATCCCCGAGGCTAAGTCCCTCCTTCCTTCAACTGTTGACTCAAATGTCACCTGGGGTGATGTACCCCTTAAAGAGTACAACCTGGGGGCACCTGGGTGGCTCAGTCGGTTGAGCGTCCGGCTTCGGCTCAGGTCATGATCTCTCAGTCCGTGAGTTCGAGCCCCACGTCGGGCTCTGTGCTGATAGCTCGGAGCCTGGAGCCTGCTTTAGATTCTGTGTCCCCCTCTCTCTCTGCCCCTCCGCCACTCATGCTCTGTCTCTCTCTGTCTCAGAAATAAATAAACATTAAAAAAATAATAATAGGGGCGCCTGGGTGGCTCAGTCGGTTGGGTGTCCGACTTCAGCTCAGGTCACGATCTCGCGGTCCGTGAGTTCGAGCCCCGCGTCGGGCTCTGGGCTGATGGCTCAGAGCCTGGAGCCTGCTTCCGATTCTGTGTCTCCCTCTCTCTCTGCCCCTCCCCCGTTCATGCTCTGTCTCTCTCTGTCTCAAAAATAAATAAACGTTAAAAAAAAAAAAATTAAAAAAAAAAAAAAAGAGTACAACCTGCCCACCACACTCCAAACTCCAGAACACCAGACGCCCTCCCCTGCTCTGTCCTTCCCCTCATCACCCTCAGAGACAAATTTCACCCCAACTAGACAGGAGGCTCCTACAAGGCAGAGATTTATTCTGCTCTGGTCACAAATGTCTCCCTGGCTCCTAGAACAGCACCAGGCGCAGAGCAGGACCCTTGGCCGACACTGGGCAGAGATGTGCTGTGTGAAACTAGATCCTCCTTCGAGCGTGTGATTTTGTGCCCAACACTTTTCAGACATCGAGTGGGGCCCCACACGTGGCGGCACAGCCAGGGGTGGCAGAGGTGGCTGCCGTGGCCTCTGGCTTCACAGTCTGAGGTAGTCACACTCAAGCAAGAACTACAGGAAAGGGTGGAGCAGGGGCAACCACAGCCCCTGGAGCCAGAGGGCTCATTTTGTACTTGCCCTTGATTCTCCATGAGACCAAAGATGTATCATCACCTGAGCAGCCAAGCTGCGGGCCAAGAAAACGGATATCCGTGTTCCTATGACACTCCCTAAGCGACTCCCTGCAGGCCACTCACCTTTTTGAAGTGTGTTGCCGACTGTACTTTTCGAACAGGCTGCATGAGGGAGTCCCGCACAATGATACTGATGTCAGCGCCTGAGTAGCCTTCCGTCTTCCGGGCCAGCTCGTGGATGTTGGCGTCAGTGAGGTTGTGGGGGGTGCTCCCCAGATGCAACCGGAACATCTGGGCACGGGCAGCCTCCTCGGGCAGCGGGATGTAAATCCGCTTTTCAAACCTAGAGAGCCAAGCACAGGGCAGGACTTGAGAGCAGATGGTACAACGGCCTTCATGGAGAAGGGCGTCGGGGTCCTCCCGAAGCTGGCCTCGCCACGCAGACACGAAGAAGCCTCCAGGGAAATGGGGTCGGGTTGTACCCACGGCTGCCAGCGGCAGGACTGACCACAGGCGGAGAAAGGCCTCAGCCCCTGGCTCCTACTGGGGAAGACTCACCTCCTTCTAATGGCTGAATCCAACACCCACGGGATGTTTGTGGCACCGAGAACCAGGGTCCCATCGTTGTTATTCCCCACCCCTGGGGAGAGAGGGGAACACAGATGCTGACCCAGAACACCCGCAAGGACCAGGCAGAATCCATGGGAAGCACCCGATGCAGGGCCATCCCTGTGCCACCACCGGCAGGGCCACCAGCAGCTCTGCGGGGCCCAGAGCCCCGAACCCTGCCTGGCTCGGGGAGGGCAGAGGGCCGGCAGCGGAGGCCACGGTGACCTCACCGAAGGCCTGGGGAGATGGAGCTGAGAACCGCTCCCCGGACATTTTCTCTCCTCCCTAAGGACAATCAGATCCAGCCGCGGCTAAACGATGAAGCCCGGGGCTGGCTCTAGGTAGACCGAGAACCAGGGAGGGCACCCGGCACTGGCACGCACCCTGCATCTGGACCAAGAACTCCGTTTTGATCCTTCGAGCAGCTTCGCTCTCATTCTCATTGCGGGACCCGCAGAGGGAATCCACCTCATCGATGAAGATGATGGAAGGCTTGTGCTGCCTGGCCAGCTCAAACAGGTTCTTGACTAGCCTGTGAAGGTGACAAGCGGGTCTGGGATCGGGACACCCACACACATGCCCGGCCAGGGGCCCAGTCACTGCTTCTCTCGCCCTTCCCACAGGCGGGTCAAGACTCCAGTCATGCTTGGATTTCAGAAAAAGTCATCACAAATCCACTGGCAGCACTGTACCAGGGGGAACAGCCTGCCTTGGGTACAGCCTCACTCATTAGCTCTGGATTTAGGACAAGTCCCTTCCCCTCCGCTCAGCCTCAGTGCGATCTTCTGCAAAATGGGAGTCGGTGTGGGAAATAACTGAACCACACGAAGTCCCCAACAGGGGACACCCACCTGATACCCAGAGACTGCGAGCGCATTTATTTCCCTTCCCTTCGCGAGGGCTCCTCTCTCCCAAGTTCCCAGTCAACATCAGCACTCTTCGTCAGGACAGCGTCCCGTGCAACAACCTAGCAAGATCCCCCTCTGCTGGCTACTTCTCCCTGACACCCAACAGCGGCTCCTCTGGGAGGTGCCGTGAGGGCAGGGCAGCAGGGCCTGGCAGCTGACTTACTTCTCACTCTCCCCCAACCACTTAGACATCAAGTCTGAGGAGGACACAGAGAAGAAGGTGGAGTTGTTGGCCTCTGTCGCCACCGCTTTGGCCAGGTAGGATTTGCCTGTGCCAGGGGGTCCAAAGAGCAGTATCCCTCGCCAAGGCGTACGCTTGCCTACGAGAAAGAACAAACTGAGGTGAGCTTCTTCCCGACTAGGGAAAGGGAACAGAGAAAAAGAGAAGACTTAAGGCGGGAGAGAAAAGTTCTACAAGACAACAGATTCTAGAAACGAAGGAATAAAGGGAACTGAACAGCCTGCTGAGAACTTGCTCCCAGCCCCGGCTCGTGACCCCCAAGACCTTGCAAAGTGACACTGGCCGGCACTAGTTCCTGACCCTGATTACTCACTGGGGTGGTCAAGTCAAAGTTCTAGTCTCAAAGGTGTTTCTGACACCAGGGAGGAGCCAGATGACGGCGATGAGCAGGTCCCGGAGCCTCTCCCGACTCAGAGCCCGTGGGAAGGTCAGGCCCTCACCCACTGACGGCCAAGAGAGCCGAGTCGCTGCCTGCTCCTGGACACCTTCAGCGTGGAAGCCCTGAGCTGGCTTCCTCAAAAACCTGCTGCTTTTACCATCTGGGCCTAAAGTAGCTCAACTCTTACCTGTGAACAAATGTGGGAATTTAATTGGCAAAATGACAGCTTCTTTGAGGGCCTCCTTGGCCCCCTCGAGCCCAGCCACATCATTCCACCGAATGTTGGGCTTCTCCATCACAACAGCACCTACAAGAGGCAAGCGGAGCCTTTGACCTGGAGGCTGACTGTGGAGCCTGAGCCGACCCTTCAGGGGCCCTCACCATGTCCCCCTCCCATTGCTGCAGGGCCTCGGGCCTCTTACCCATCAGTTGTTCCTGCAGTTTCTTTTTCTCTGGATTATCCCCTTCACTGTCACTATCGCTGCTGGGAAAGGAGACAGAAGAGGACATCTAAAGCGAGAGGCGGTTGGGCAAGTAGGCATTGAGAGCAAAGTCAGGCTCTGGCTGCTGGCCCAGTGGCAGAGACGCCTGTCCTGCTCAACAGTAGAGACCCACAAGCAGGTAACTCAAGAACATTCGGGCCGCCTGTTCTCGACACTCCCTCCACATCCTCCACATCCTCCAGGAAATACTCCCGTCACCCATCCTTGTTTCTTCATTAAGGGAGCAAGAATAGAGATGTGTGCCCTCTCTACAAGGCCGATGAGGGACGTGTGCTTTGGCTGGACTTCAGGAGCAGCTGGGGAGGCAGCTGGAGCTGTCCCCGGCCTTTCGCACAGACTTACAGCCAGATGGCAAGTGGCTGTGACTCAGAGAAGAAGTTAAGTTTAAGTCTAAAGGGGAGCACTCAGGAAGGGAACATAGTCACTGGCCTCACCCCAGGGCCAGTCCCCTAATGGGACATAAGTGGTTGGCCCTTCTCAAAACTCTTCCAGTCCCCCCAAGACGCCTCACCCCCTGGCCCTCTTCCTCTCTTCTGAGAGCACGTTCCCTGGCCTGGGCAAGCCCGTCCATCCAGGAGCCACGGCTCTCAGCTCTGGTGGGGCAGCTGACACATCACCTGCCTGTCTCCCGCTCCGTGACACTCCTGCCTGGGACCCTCCCCGTCGCCTCCAGGACACCACTGGCCTTGATGCTCAGCTACCTGGTATCTCTGTGGTAGGTAAACCACAGATGTGAGGAGAGAGGCTGCAGGGCGAGCACTGGCTTTGTAGCTGGAAACAGAAGCCCTGGGTGTGGGTACAGACTCCATCAAGTACCGGCTCAGTGACCTAGACCGTATCTCTGAACTTGAGTGTGTTGCCTCATCGGTCAGATGAAGACAAGAACTCTGACTGTAACAGCGGCAGATACTTTTTCATCCTGACTGCAGGCAGAGCTCTCGGGGCTTTCCCCGTGTCTTCTCATTTGCTCCTTAGAGCAACACTGGGCGGGCAGGCCCGTTATCCCCCTTCTATAGAGGAGGAGCCTGGAGCCACAGGGGTCATGGCACTTGTCCACGGTCACTTGGCTAGGAAGTGGCAGAGCCAAGATATAGCCTGAGAGTCTGACTGCAGAATCCAAGGCCGGTGACCTCCACGCTGGCTCCCTGTTTCACTCACAGCTGAGGCACCGCCCACGGAAGTACTCTGCAAAGCACCTACGGAGAGCAGCTAGGGGCCTTGTCACTAGATGGGTGCAATTCCCCAGGAGGAAGGCGCTATGGAAGTCGAAGGCATCATGAGCACCAAGAATGGCAGGGAGGTGCTCACGGGGGCTCCGGTCCCGGCTGGGTCCTCCCCTCCTCCGTGCTCACCCCTTGCTCTCACTCTGATTTTCTTTGACTGGCTTCTTGCCATGCTTCTCTTTGTTTCGTAAATAATCCTTCAGCTTCTCCGCTCGGTCTAGGTACTGCATGCACTTGGCTCGAATGCTCTCCTTGGCCTTGTCACTGTGTGCCTCATCTGCAAAAGGGGAATCATAGAGGGGGTACCCGCTCTGCTCTTGCAGGGGTTCTGCAGCCGGGGAGGGCCCTGCTGTGACTCACATTTGATAGCGTGTAGGAAATACTCCACGGCATGCTGGTAGAGCCGGAGTGCCTCCTCGTAATTCTTGGCTTTATCCTCTTCTGTGGCTTTTGTCACCAGGTCGATGGCTTTCTGGAAAGGCAAAGCAAGTACCTCAGTGCTTCCCAAGAGACCCAAAAAGCCCTTGGGGTCCCAGGCAGCAGGAATCCTGTGGATCTGTGGGTCGCACACCATTATGTCGGCCTCTATTTCCAACATCAACCAGAAAGGCCTTAAGAGGAAGCTATATGACAGCCATCCCTCTTCACAATGCGCTCATAGAGTGAAAAGCAACTTCCTTCTCAATTTCACTCTGGATTTCAGCAAGTGGAAACCTGATCAAATATCTCAGGTTAGAGCTCAAAGGGAGAATCCACTTTCTATTCCGTGCCTCAAGGGAAAGAAAGGTGGACCCGGACCCGGACCCAGCACCGGACCCAGTGCCTGGAACAGGGGAAACACCAGAACGAACTGACTGCTGCGCTGCTCAGCATGAAGGCCAGAAACTGCATTTGACCTCAAAGGCCAGAGAAGAGCCAGCCCTGAGTTTTATGAGACGGACGAAAGGGATCTCTACTTCCTTCTACTGGCCCAACTTGCTTCTCTAGGGTGAAAACGGGAGACGGTTTTCCTAAATTTGCTACTTAGGGAAGGGATGCTTGGACATATGGGTCAGTATAGCAGTAGCTTCAGTGAGAAAAGTGCTTGCTTACCCCAGACCCAGATATGTGCTACCAATTAAGGGGAACGGTCCTCTGGAGTCTTGTAAGAACCCTTGAAAGTGTCTCTGTGAATCTCACAAACCCTGTCGGCCTGTGCTCTAGACTGAACCTAAAACACGCTGGATCTTTCAGGCAGCTGCCCCACACCTACATATCCAGTTTTAGAAACCATGGCTTCACCAACCCAGGAAGCATTACCAGAATTATCTTCCCCAAGCTGATGAGCACTAGACACGAGGCGGGCAGATCCCACTGTAAACACAAAGTTCCATCCACAGCAAACAATAAACCTCCTGATCAGCTCTTGGCAGGGCCCAGGCTTTGTGCAGCCCTTCCTCATCTGAAAGTAAGAGGTCTCCGAAGGACACAGCTAGTCCTACAAAACTAACAGACTGGAGTAGGTTAGGCCAGATTGATGAAAACTGAACTCACCAGGTTGAAAAGATGAGATAAGGTGAAGGGAGTGTTGGCTACTATTTTCAAGCTCTGCTACCTCCACTACCTAAAAATAGAGAATGACCAGGAGCCCAGAACCTTCTGGAATGATTAGCTTAAACAATTTTTTTACGTTTATTTATTTTGAGAGAGAGATAGTGGGGGAGGGGCAGAGAGAGGGGGGAGAGAGAGAATCCCAAGCAGGCTCCACACTGTCGGTGCAAAGCTCAATGCGGGGCTCAGACTCACAAACCATGAGACCACGACCTGAGCTGAAAACTAAGAGTTGGACGCTGAACTGACTGAGCCACCCAGGCGCCCCCTGGAATGATTCATTTAAACACAAGCTTCTTGGGTCTACTCTCCCCAGACAGTGGCTCTTGAGCTAAGACATGAAACGAGTCCTCCTGTCCCTGATGGCTTCTCTTCTCCAGAACCAATATGCCCATCTCCTTGGACTTTTTTGCTCTGTATGCATTCTTGTTTGGGTCTGTCCTTTTGAAAGGCAGAGTTCAAAAAATAATCCAGGCATGCTCTGCCCACCGCCCCCCGCTTCTAGATACTTTATTAATTAATGCGCCTAAGAGCACATTAGGTCTTTTTGGCATCTGCATAGTGTTTCATGTGCAAGAGGCCGCTGGTGCAATGTGAGAAGGAGTAGTTTTGCCTAACACAACGGTGAGGTGATAGATAAAACTGCCAGCCTGCCACAGCTCTAGTAACACAGATGGCAGAGGATGAGGAAGAAAGACAAGGGTAAGGAAGATGTGTGAACACAGGGGCTGGCAAACTTTCCGTAAAGGAGCGGACGGTAAATGTTAGACTTTCCTGGCCATACAATCTCTGTTAGCAGCTGGCTACTCAACTCTGCCTTTGTAGCCCAGAAGCAGCCCAAAAGTTCCGATAAAACTTTATTTATAGACACTGAAATTTGAATTTCATGATTTTCACGTGTCAGGAGGTATCTTTTCCCAGCATTTTAAAAATATAAAAACCTACGACATTATGATAAGTGAGGGAAGCCAGTCAGTCACAAAGAACCACATATTGTATGATTCCAGTTATAGAAAATGCCCAGAATAGGCAAATCCATAGGGAAAGTAGATTAGTGTTGCCTAGGGTTGGGAGAGATAGAGGGTTTGGGGGATGACAGTAAAGGGTGTAGAGTTTCTGGGGGGATGAAGATGTTTTAAAGTGTGGTGACGGTCGCACAACTCTGAATATACTAAAAGCCATTGAATGATACACTTTGAATGTGGTTTATGTGGTGAGATAGATCTTAGGGTTTTGTTTTTTTTTTTAAAAAAAAACGTAAAAACACTCTTAGCTCAAAGACAAAAAAATGTCTGAGCAGGTGGGATCTACAGGCGAAAATTTACAACCCCCTGCGCTAACAGATCACAGCTTGTGCTGGTGGACGGTGGTGTCTGGCTTTGGACCCTAACTAATTCCTGGCCTAGTACCCCGATTTATTCCAGGCCTGTTCCCACCTTTTCCTCCGCCTTCAGGAATCTGAATGCCACCCATCCTGTCCTGATCCAGCCAAACGCCCCTTCTTCCACGAAGTCTTGCCTAACTCCCTCACACGCTTTATCTGTCATGACTTACTGAGCACTTACTATGTAGCACACACTGAGCCAAGAACGCTCTACCTGAATTACTCAATCCGGAGCCACTGTCACAACAACCCTACAGGGTACTACCCCATTTTACTGACAGGAAACGCGAAATTCCAAGATCAAGTAACTGGCCCAAGGTCACACGCCAATGAGCGGCAGAGCCAAGACCGAAGCCCAGGTCGAGGCCTGAGCATGTTTCCGTTGGCCGGCACAGCAGGACCGGCAGCACCTGGAGGGTGGGTCAGTCATGCGTCCAGGTGGCGCCACCCCAGCACCACCAGGCAAGATCTAGGGAATGAATGAAGGGTCGCCGGCCGACGGGAAGAAATCGGGGCCCCGGGGAAGGAGCGGGGACTCGTCTTCAGGGAGGCAGGGAGGGAGGGCAAGTAGCCCGACTGCGGGGCCGAGCTTCCCGGGCGGCGCCGGTGCGGTCCGCGAGAGGCTGATCCCCGCGGCGGTACCTGGGCGCCGCCGGCTGCACTCGGCGGCCTCGGGGCTCGGCCCGACTCGGCCGGGGGGCGGGGGCGCGGGCGTTCTGGACAGGAGGCGGCCCGTGGCTCCGAGCGCGTGAAAACAAACGGGCGGAGGCGGCGACAGGGCGGCGGGGCGGGAGCCGCGGGGCCGGGGCTCCGAGCAGGCCGCCCGCCCGAGTGCTGGCTCGCAGGCCCCGCCGCGCCTCCTCCCGCCTCCGGAAGCCGAGCCCGGCCGCGCCGAGGTACCTGGAGGGTTGACGTTGTCATTTCATCTCCTGGGTCCGCCCCACACCCCGCGGCGCTTCTTGCGGCCTCGGTCCGGCCCCGGGTAGCCGAGCTGCTGGGTCCGGCGCGGGGACCCCGGCGGGTTGGCGCTGGGCGCGAGCAGGGCAGCCGCTCGCAGCCGGAGCGGAGTCGGAGGGCGAGCGAGGAGCACGGCCCAGAGCGGTCGGGCCCGAGCCGCGCGACTTCCCCCCAGCGGCCACAGCCGGCACTGCAGGCAGCCCTCCCGGAGGCCGGGGGTCTGTGCCGGCGAGGTCCGGGGTGGGGCCGGGAGGAGGGCGTGTTAGGGGTGTGTTAGGGGCGGGGAGCCCAGCGAGGGCTGGGGTGGGGTTGGGTGCGGGGCGAGGCCAGAGTCAGGACCGAATAGAAACCTCAAGTCCTAGACCCCATTGCTGTGAAATAGCGCCTGTAGGTCAGTTTTTCTTGCACAGTATAAGCCAAATTTCCCAGAGCTTCGGGTTTCTGATATTTAAGAGGATGTACTAAAATTAGTATCTTGTCTGGCTTTTGGGGGGAATGAATGAGCTAACTAATGTAAACACAGCGTACCCCACATTGGGGGGATTCAGCCTGTTAAGTATTATTATAATGCTGGTGGCTCTGTCTAAAGCCAGCTTTTTATTTTATTTTATTTTATTTTATTTTATTTTATTTTATTTTATTATCTTATTTTATTTTTTTTATCTTTATTATTTTATTTATTTTTTAAAAGATTTTATTTATTTTTTTTCAACGTTTATTTATTTTTGGGACAGAGAGAGACAGAGCATGAACGGGGGAGGGGCAGAGAGAGAGGGAGACACAGAATCGGAAACAGGCTCCAGGCTCTGAGCCATCAGCCCAGAGCCTGACGCGGGGCTCGAACTCCCGGACCGCGAGATCGTGACCTGGCTGAAGTTGGACGCTTAACCGACTGCGCCACCCAGGCGCCCCTAAAAGATTTTATTTTTTTAAGTAATTTCTACACCTAACGTGGGGCTCAAATTCACGACCCCAAGGTCAAGAGCTCCAAGTTCCACTTACTAAGCCAGCCTGGCACCCCTGTTTTTATTCTTGTTTGATTTTAGACTTTTTCCTCTTTTTAAATGTTTATGTATTTATTTTTGAGAGAAAGAGGCAGAGAGACAGAGAACCCCAAACGGACCCACACTGTCAGCTCAGAGCCCCACATGGGGCTTGAACTCACCAACCATGAGACCACGACCTGTGCCTAAATCAAGAATCAGATGCTCAACCAACTGAGCCACCCAGGTGCCCCTGTTTTTGTTTTTTAATATTAGCCCTTCTACTTTTCTCTTTAGGAAAGCGGGTTTCCTCTTCTTCTTCTTCCTCTTCTTCTTCTTCTTCAGATTTTTATTTTTTTTTTATTTTTTTTTCAACGTTTATTTATTTTTTGGGGGACAGAGAGAGACAGAGCATGAACAGGGGAGGGGCAGAGAGAGAGGAAGACACAGAATCGGAAACAGGCTCCAGGCTCTGAGCCATCAGCCCAGAGCCTGATGTGGGGCTCGAACCCACGGACTGCAAGATCGTGACCTGGCTGAAGTCGGACGCTTAACCGACTGCGCCACCCAGGCGCCCCAGATTTTTATTTTTTTAAAGTAATCTCGACACCCAATGTGGGGCTTGAACTTAAAACCCGGAGATCAGGAGTCACATGTTCTACCAACCAAGCCAATCAGGCGCCCTGGGAACGTGGCTTTCGTAAACCTCCAAAGCTGGGGGCTTTAGCCTGGTAAACTTCAGTATAGTTTCTGGGGATACACCAATGATCAAAACAGGTCGAGGGCAGCCTACAGTTTGAGAAGATGATGTTCATCAGGAAAAATGATGTAGTAAGTGTGTTGAGGCCCATGTGTGAAAGCTCCTGAGTGTCTAACAGGCAACCTACATAAGATAGGTGGTCAGGAAAGGTTCCGTTTAAGAAAAGGTAACTCTAGCTCTAGTGTGCAGAAGAGATTGCAAGGATGGAGTGACTATAGCATGTGAAGCTATTGCTATAGTCCAGAAGAATGAGGGAAGCCTGGACTAGGGGCAGGGCCATGGAGAGACATTCACAGAATAGAGAGATTGTGGAAGGCGGATCATAAGCACACAAATGGGTTAGATTTGGGGTATGGTGAGGGGCAGGAAGGGATGGAGATGACACCTGGGTCGCTGGCCTCAGAGCCTGAGTAGCTAGTGACAACACTGAAATAGAGACTATATTGAACAAAGACCAGGCTCAGGGGGGTGGAGGAGTGAGGAAGATCACAAATTTGAGGTGCATTTGAAACATCAAGGGTCAGATAGGCATATACCTCTGGAAGTCAGAAAAAAGAGGTGGGAGATGTACATCTGCGAGATGTGCGGGTATAGGTGGGAATGAGATCTCCTAGGGAAGAGCAGAGTGCAGGGGGAGGTGAGGGGAGAGCCTAGGACAGAGCTTGGAAGTTTATCGACTAAGGAGAGGAGGATGAGCCTGCAAAAGCAGCTCAGAAAGACAGCTGGAGAGAGAGGATAGCCACGAGAGTGTCTTGAGAGCCAGGGAAGGAGTGCTGGGTGAGGAGCGGGGAGCACAGTGTCTAACGCAGCTGAGAAGACAGACGGTAATACGAAGACACCAACCACCTCAGCCAGAGATGTTTCAGTCAAGCGATGGGGGCGGAAACCATACCACAGCGGGCCGGGTGAGAGCGGGTCACCAGGAGGCACAACTCTTTCAAGAAGTTTGGAGGAAAGGAAGGGAGCCCTAGAGCATTGGCTGCAGGAGCTGAGGGGTCCAGGAAGGGATCTGTGATGGTTTTTAATGGGAGAAGAGTTCAGCATATTTAAAAATCCAATAGGAGGAATCTAGTTGAGGAGGCTAATGAACGGGAATGGGATCAAAACAGATGTAAGAGGAGTGGCTTTAGACGTAATAGGTGCAGGGAAGAAGATAAACAGGTGCCTACCTAGGTCAGCCAGAAGATAACAAATTGGGAGGGTACTTCTGGGTGGCTGCGGTTTTCTCAGGGAGCTAGGAGGAAAGAGAATTTGTTGCGAGAGGGACAGAGACAGAGGCGGGAGGCCTGGGGTTTGAGCAGAGTGAAGACGGTTTGAAACCCTTTCAAGTGAACCCAAAGTGAGCGGTGTTAAGGGCATGCCTGGTAAAGGCTGGCAACCTCTACAAATGTATAGAGGTACCAATTTGCCTTGGATTTTTCTCCCCAGGAGTCAGCTGCTCGGGCAGATGCAGGAAGAGAGCTGGGTTCCCCCAGGTGGCTGCTATGAAGACAGAGGAGCAAGGGATTCACAGGTCTTGGTGAGGGTGGTGCCGCAATGATAGGCTGTGGAATCAGAGCTGGGAAAGTTGCGGGACCGACGAGAAGGTGAAAGAGTGGGTAGACTAGTTAAGGACTCAATAGACTGAAGGGTTGTCACAGTGGGGACGCACTGGAGAGAGATGCTTCAGTTATTGATTTCGGAAGATGCTCTGTTCCAGCACTAACAGTCTAGGGGGCGGCGGTGGGAGTGGGAGGATGGGTGAGCCGGGGTGAAAGGGCCATTGTCATCCACGAGGAGGTTGAGGAACCAAAAGGCCAAGCAAGGTGCTGAGCGTGTCTGTGGACGGTGGAGTCAGGATAATGGCAGGAGTGGCAGGACAGGGTTTGCTGAGCCTGGGTGACACAGGGAGACACACACACGTACAAGTCATGGCTCCTCTGCTTCTACCCTGAACACTGCTCTTTCAGACACTAACAGAGCTGAGTGGGGAGGCTTTTATTTGCTGTTATGCACCTGACAAAGGCACTGCCCTTTTATTTATTTAAATTTTTAAAAGTTTATTTAGAGAGAATGCGCACATGAGCTGGGAAGTAGAGAGGGAGAGAATCCCAAGCAGGCACCGTGCTGTCAGCACAGAGCCCAATGTTGGGCTCGAACCCACAAACCGTAAGATCGTGACCTGAGACGAAACCAGCAGTTGGAGGCTTAACCGACTGAGCCATCCAGGGGCCCCAAGGCCCAGACTTTTTAAATCATTGAGAGGGCAGGGCTGGGTCTTTTTCAGGGCTTGATAGGGGACTCACTTCATATTTGCTGGATGTATTAATAATGAATTCATTAAGAAGAAATAAGGGACCCTAACTGACAGATGAGAGTGAGGCAGAGTTGAGAACATACTAACCTCCCACACTAGACAGGGCCGCACAAGTTGGAAGACAGAATCAAAACACAAGTCCCTACAATTAAGGAGGGCTGTGTTAGTCTGCTCAGGCTGCCATAACAAAATACCACAGGTCGGGTGGCTTAAACAATAAAAACTCATTTTCTCCATGGTTCTGGAGGCTGGAAGTCCAAGATCAAGGTGTTAGCAGGGTTGGCTTCTTCTGAGGTCTTTTTTCTTGGCTTATAGATGGCGATGCTTTTGTTGTGTCCTTGCATGGTCTTTACTGTATGCACAGGCATCCCTTATCTTTGGCCAAGCTTCCCTTTTTTTATAAGGACACCAGTCAGATTGGACTAGGGCCCACCCCAACGGCCTAATTTTAACCGAATCACCTCTTTCAAGGCCCTATCTCCAACTACAGTCACATTCTGAGGCGTGGGGGGTTGGGTTCAGCATTTGAATTTGGTGGGACACATTCAGCCCATGGCAAGAGCTGGGTTTGAGATCCACTGGCTCTGTGCTCACGTTCTCTTTGCTCTGCCTACTCAGCTTTCTTGGGACTCTTGCTTAGCTGCTGTGTTCCAAGAGCCTGAAGTACACAGACTGACCCTGCCGACAAAGCAGAGTTTCTCAGGGGAAGCTCCCCATCCTGGAGGGAAGCTGCTTCCAACGGCAGCTTGGTCACCCATTTCTCCTTAAAGGATACCTTGAAAACAGGGGCGCCTGGGTGGCGCAGTCGGTTAAGCGTCCGACTTCAGCCAGGTCACGATCTCGCGGTCCGTGAGTTCGAGCCCCACGTCGGGCTCTGGGCTGATGGCTCAGAGCCTGGAGCCTGTTTCCGATTCTGTGTCTCCCTCTCTCTCTGCCCCTCCCCCGTTCATGCTCTGTCTCTCTCTGTCCCAAAAATAAATAAAAAACGTTGAAAAAAAAATTTAAAAAAATAAAAAAAAAAAGGATACCTTGAAAACAGACTCTGAGAACCCCTCAGTGCTGCAGTGGTGTGGCCATTGCTGGGGCTGGGGGAGTCAGTGGAAGAGGGAAAGGGGAAATAAAGGCATTACATTTATTTGTGGGCTGGCACATGGAAGATGTTGAGGCTTCCTAAATCTGAATCAGATCAAGAACTTCCTATTCTAACTTTCTCCCTAGAGCAGAAATCAGATTCTCAGCTCCCACACATTAGAGCTCCCACACTTCAGGTAAAGAGTCATTGACTTGCAAATACACAGTTCCACTTTCTTGCACAGCACTTTTCCAGATAGGATTCTGCTGATGCTGACAATGTGGCACTTGTGGTAAACCTGAGCTTGGACCAGTGAGTCAACTTTGCTTAGCTAATACAGCCTAGTAAGATCAGACTATACAAACGTCAGCATTCTAGGGCTCATGCCAAGGAGTAGATTCTTAACTTGGTTAAGGAGCCCTTGGATGGGGGCCGAGAGTGGTGTGGAAGAAGAGGAACAAACACTGAGTTCAGGTGAATAACAGTTTGGGAAGGTAGGGCCAGGCCAAAATCTCAAGCAAAGTGAGTAATGGACACCCAAATAAATGGAGCACTGATGATTCCTAATATGATTCCTGAGAAACCATCTCCCCTCCTCTGTGTGACTCAAAGTATAATAAAGCTCAGACTGATCCAATGATTAAGCTCCTGTCAGTGAAAGTCAGTGATGGAACTAGAACCACAACTAGGTTTTTAGGAATTTGGAGTTGGCCTAAATCTGCTTAAAAATGGCACCAGAAGAGACTGATGAGACATGACCATCAAACGCCACATGTGATACTGGATAGGATCCTTTGCCAGAAAGGAAAAGGAAAGGTTGCTGGGACGATGGGCACAATGTGAATGGGGTCTGCGGATTGGGGGGTAGTGTCGTGCCAGTGTTGATTTCCTGGTGGGGAGGGCTGGACGGTGGCAATACAGGACGGTGTCATTATGTTTGGGAGGTACACACTGAGAATTTAAGGGTGATAGAGCATCATGTCAGAAAAGACAAGAGATGATAATGGAACAAATATAAAATGTTAACAATTGGGAAATTTGGGTGAAGAGGATGTAGATCTTTGTTTCGTACCGCTCTTGAAATGTTCCTGTAGGTTTGAAACCATTTTAACATAAAACAGAAAAAAAAAATACAAGTCTAAAAGCATTTTTTTATTTACAGTATAAAGGTTACAAAGGTATATATGTATTTATATATATAATACCCTTAAGTTACAAATTTTCATTGTAATGTACAACGCTATATATGTTGATGTGCAACTCAAGGGGAAGTGTTGTCTATGCATTTATATTTATTGAGTACACATAAAGCTTTTTTTATTATTATTAAGAACACAAATACTGCCCTGTTTTATGCCATAAGTTTTGATTTGGTAGCCTGGTGATACCAGATGATTTGAGAACTAAATCTTAAACAACACTTAAAAAGAAGTCCTGTTTAAATACAGTGTTCTAAAAAGAAGAAAAAAAACAGAATATCACATACTTTTAATTTTTTGTAGAAGCATTACTCTAGCCTTCTAAGTCTTAATACTTAACAAAAATTAAAGTTGTGTGGAACAAAATACACACAAGGGAGTATAATCAGAATTTGCACAGATTAGCCATAATAGGCCTTCATAGGTAGTGGTTTGCCACATTATCTTCTAGAAGATCTTGGATCCGGTACCAAAAGGGAAATATTCTTTGGGCACCAAGGTCTTATCATGCTGAAGACATCCAACAGATTGTAAACATAATACTGGAGCCTTATGCCGGAGAAAAAAATACAAAACTAAAATGGGTTCTTGTAATAAGGGTAGATTTGCTATAGGTGTGAAGAATATCACTGAGAATGATGATTGTGCCAAACCCAAAACTTAGTTGAAATCATTTCCTCTCTCCCAAATTCAGGTAATTCACAAAACAGAGGTGAAAAACATAACCGACACCCATTAGAACAGGACTAAGATAGAAGGCAAGCAATTCTTCCAACTTAGGAGGAATAGACCCTTACACCACAATACTTATGTGCTGGTTCCAATTCCATATAATCGTTAGCACCTGATTGTCGAAGTGTAGGTTTAGAGTAAAGGCCATCACACTGAAGGCAAGCTGGATGGAAGGGACTGTTACTGTCTGAAAATTATGAAAAAATTCAATTAACCTCTCGTTTCCTTGAGGTGTCCTTTTTATTGAGTTTGAATGCCAGAGTGTTCTAGAATAAGTGGAACTTTGCCAGGTTTAAAATATCTTCAATTGGACACACCATCTACCATGTGTAAGGACTTCCAACAAATGAGACATTTAAAGGGTGTAAGTGTGGAAATGAATGGGTCAGCACAATTTAGAAATGGGGTAGATGAAATAAATATTCAGCTTTGCTATTTATAGTTAAAAGAAACATTTCTTTAAAGTTTATTTTGAGAGAGAGAGAGAGAGAGAGAGAGAGAGAGAGAGAGAGAGAGGCGCAGATATGGGGAGAGACAGAATCTCAAGCAGGCTCCACACCATCAGTGCAGAGCGTGACGTGGGGTTTGAACTCACGAACTGTGAGATTATTATGACCTGAGCCCAGATCAACAGTCAGATGCTTAACCAACTAAGTCACGCTGGTGCCCCAAGAAGCATTTCTTTAAAAAGGCTTTCCTGTTGATCCACTTTGCGTAATAGAGCTTAATTGTTGTTGTTGAGATTTATCTTGCTAAGGATGTTCTACACTGTTCTTCCCAAACTAAAGTCTATTTTTTTTAAAGATTTTTTAAGTAATCTCTACACCCAAATGGGGTTCAAACTCACAACTCCGAGATTCAGAGTAGCATGTTCCACTGAATGATCCAGCCAGGCGCCCCACTAGTCTAATTTTGCATTAAAAAACTAGGCATAATGAAAAGACTAACCTACTTAAGTGTGCTTGGAGTTCTTTCATGTTGGCATGGACCAAAGACCAAGCATCATTTTAAACATTTTCCAGTTAGCCAGAGTAGCTGGACTGCAGATGTACTTTGGTAAAAGTATGAAGTGGTTAATTACTTAACCACTGATTGATAAACAGATGGCAGGGTGTAATTGAGAAATAATGGATTATGTGCTACTTGCAGGCAGGAACTTTCTTTTGGACCCTGAAGAGAGCCTGTGAAGAGTTGTGTGTTAATAACTGCTTAGTACATGGAATACGTGAATTAATGCGTCATTAATTAGCCTTGCAGTGTCAGAATTTCCCTAGGCCCCCAAAGAACCTTTTGTCTATGCATAAAAGACTTCTATTACTTTGGAAGAGGGGACAGAACATTCAGGTTCCAAAGGTGTATATGTGACTGGCATAAAGAGGGGCTCAAAAACTAAAACAAAGCATTTGCGTCAACCGCATGGAGCTAAGATGACAACAGAACTGAGTAAGGTACTTAGAGGACTCAGAAGTTAGAAATCTATCAGGGTAGCTAATCTTACAATATAATAAAGTATTGCTTCTCTAGCATAGCTTTTTAGCTTCAACCAATCTATTTTGGAGCAATTCAAGAATTATAATTCAGATGGTGGATTTTGTTGAATATAATCAAATATTCATTAGAGAGCAAGCAATCATTTGCAAACGGCCTTCTTTATGAATTACATCAAATTTAGATTCACTTTTAAAACTTAAACATACTTTGGTTCAGTCACCTGAAGTGGGAAGAATAAGAGGTGGCAAGAAGTTTATGTTCAAGTTTATCAGTTTGAAACAAAAGAACAAATCTCGTTAAACTATTTGTGGAGTTAATACATAACAACCATTCTTCTAGTTGGTGGTTTAGCTAGTGTAAAAAAAAAAAAAAAAGAAAAAGACAACAGATGTACAGGTGTGCCCCATAAGCCTAGTTTTGGTTACCTTACTTTAACTTGAAATTCTATCTTTGATAGAATGAACTTGTATCATTGATCTGCCAGATGTGTTGTGTGTGTTGTAGAGAAATGGTTTCAAATCTGCCACTAAGTAGTCTATTACCAGCATAAAGTAAATTTCAGTTATCAGTACACCATAGGAGTAGCTAAATTGCTCAAAACCACATAATCCTGAAATACAACATGATTATTTTATAACTGTCTGCCATCACACATTTATTGTCTATACACCCAGCACAGGGAAGGAGACAGCTTTAGAAAAGAGGGAGGGGGGACTGCTGCTGTCAGTATTAAAAGACAGTATGCAGAAAGTCAAACAAATTCTAGATTACCAAGCAATCTCGAGAGACAGAACAGCAGCAAATGGCAGATTCTTAAGCTTTCATCTTCAGGAGGGGGGTTGGGGGGAAACCGCAATAACATCTTAAATTTAACTGAAAGAGATTTCCAAACTTAAGATAAAATATAATACCACCTGGCATATTATAGACCTGATCGAGATCTACATACAAAAAGAATGAATCGGATTATGGTCAAATTCAACTTAAAGTTTAAGCAGAATCCCCAATTTAAAGAAGTCTTTTTTCCTTGGGTAGATGTTTGATCTGACCGGAGCAATTTGCTTTGAGACCAAAGAGATCTGACATTTCACTTCTTCATGATCAACTGAAAAAAGATGACCTTTGGCTTTCTAACCAGCCATTCATTCATGCCATCAATGGTGGATGGCAGCGACAAGGAAATGTATGCTGGATATTTGGACAGTTTAAATATTATGTACAATCAATAGCTTATAACCAGTGAAAATAAGAACAGTTCAGCGTAAGTGTCCAAGATACAAAACAGCAGAGAAAGTGCTTAAGTCTACAGGTCTTCCCTGAAAGCTTCAAAAATGTTTAACTTTTAAGTAGGTAGGGCTTTTAATAGAATTTGCATAGCAGCGTACAATAAAATTTGCATTAAAAAATATGGAGATTCTTCCATGTTTCTGAAAACATACAAATATATCCACGTGCATATAAATTAATAAACAAGAAGACCTGGAGGTTCTCACAAAATTTAAAAAAAAAGTTCATCATAACCTTTTCCCAAAGTGGTCACACTTTTGTCCATCAAAACCATTTACGGAGAAAACTTCTTCTGGGAGAAACATAATCTTGTCCAGATTCCACACAGCTTAATTTTATTTTTAAGAATAAATTCTAGTTTATTAGCTAAGTGTATCTAATCAACTGAAAAAAGCTTGGTTACCATCCTGCCTAGGAAGATAAATTAGGAAAACAATCAGGGACAACTTTAATCATTTGTTGGTTAGATTAGATTGGTAGGTTAGATTAGAGAAGAAATAAATAATTCAATCTCTCCTGCCATCCAATAATGTTCAATAACAAAGTTTGTGAGGGTATAGCTGATAAAAACATGCACTATCAGACTTCACCTAGCCTAAAAAGTGCTCAAACATGGCTTTAAAATAGGTGAATGACAAATAAGGTAATATTTTTGATTGCCTGTACAGGTCCCAATATGTAATCTGAACCTGTCTACTAGGTAGGTGAGTTTGCAGTTCGAACTATCTAATAAATACTGTATAAACATACATTTAAGTATTACTTCATATAAAATAATAGATACTAATTTCTAGGTAAGGTTTGTTTGGTAACTTCAGGAAAGGACTTACCTTTTTCAGAATAAGAATGACTGAGCCTTTTCTTTTTCTTTCCTTTTCTTTCTTTTTTTGGAGAGGAAAGGGAGAAATTTTAAGGAATGAGAAGGAAGAATTTTCACACACCAGGTGGCTACTTCTAGGCTTCTGTGTGGAATATGGAGAAGACGTCTAAGCCCCAGGTCCGGCTTGGGGGGGGGGGGGGGGCGGGGGGTCGAGGGGCACAGGAAGCGATCCACTGGAACAAGGCACACACACTACTCTGCAGGTTCCTTTTCGTTCTACACAGGCAAGCCCACAACATTCTCAACAATTTTCCTAATTCAAAATGAAAAAGAAATGAAAAGCTGTTCTATAAAAGATGTGAAATATCAAAAATGCCCATTTTTAGTTATCATTTGAAAATAATTTGCCATGTTTTGGCATCTTAATACAAAATACATATTAATCAAGGCTGTCCCATCCGTAAAAAGCTCTTCATCTGTGGTTTGAAAGTTCCACAAACACACTTAGTTGAATAACAATCTGGTCACCCACGAGTGGAAAGCTGCTGATGTTAAACAAGCAGCTTAAAGGCTCTTGCTCTTGGGGGTGCTAGTGGTCAAAGGAAATCTCCCACACATTTTCATTTCACATTAAGACTCAAAAGATTTAAAAACCTTATGGACCTTGGTGACAATTTAAGCTGGAACAAAATGAGCCAAAATGGCTCACATGCTTTTCCTTCTCCTGCCCACATTTTCATCACACCTTTTTTAGAGTTCTTTTTCATGTAAGTGATGAGCAGGGTGGCTCAGAAGTTCCCCCTGAAAATATTCTCAGTGGCTTAGTCTTTCACACTAACAAAGAAAACCTCCACCAAATGGCTTCGCTGCAAAGTCTGTGACTGCATGTGCAACGTTTCAGATTAATAATGCTCTCACTGCAAAGTGTCTAAGCTCCCTTATCTGAGGGTATTATGTGTTGAAATTCTGCTTCCAGAAATCATAGCTGGACCTTCAAGATATTTTTTTTCCTTCCCTATTTGCAAATTTACTTCAGCTGGAGCCAAATACAGGTTTATGAACCTTTAAAACGTAAACAAAAAAAAGCCCTTGAAACACATATTCTAGTGTAGATGTCAATTTCCAGTTTTAAGTGGACCACATCATTCATTGTTGGAACTGTAGCTGGGGGGAGAACAGTTCTCTCTCCCCAGCCTGTGCATGTGGTTATTCTCACCGTACACAAGGGGAAGGAGGACCGACTTATGGGCACAGGGAAAACAGTGGGGTTACAATGTCTAACTCAAACTCTGTTCATGAGTCTGCTCTTTCAAATGTCCTACCTAGGTCAGTCGGCACTCACACCAAATAGCTCGTGTTTTCCATATGATTGTGGGGTTTTTTTCCTTCCTATTTGGAGTGCTACCTTCCTCCACTCTCCAAAGAGCTCACACCCTCTTACGGCATACCTCATAAATCTAGTGAGAGCTCGGCATAGACTTTTCTTCGGAGAACACAGAGAACATCCAAGTCAATATTACCTTCTCTTTCAGATCTGGGGACTGTGGTAATCTTGACATTTTAGACAGCTCTTATATTATTTTGAATGTTTTCAGATATATACCTCCTTCATAATTAGGAAAAACAAGCTGAATGTGTTTCTCTAATACTACAAAATCAGCAATCTTACTGCTACTATGTCCTAAAGATGATGTCTGGCAATGCTTAGCAAAACCCAGGTAACTATTCCATGGTCTCGTCACCCTGCCCGCTGTCGAACGCATTACTACACCAACAGTGAGTCTTGAATTAGCAGCTGCCTGTCTGTACCCATCTGCTTCCACAAAGGGCCAGGGCCGGGGCCCTGCATGGGCTCACAAAACCCAAAGCAACTCAACATGATGTTTGTGAAGAGCTGCCTTTACAGTCTACTCTTTAAACAAGCAGGCTCTCCAGAATTTATCTTCCCCAATGAGATCTGCCCACTAGAAAAGATACTACTCAGGAAATCCATCTTAAAGACTATTCCTCAAAACTAGGATGGATTATCTCCCTGGAATGGCAGTGATATCCAGTTATTCATATAGTGACTAATAAAGCTCCACTAACCCTAACCAAAGGCACATTTGGTAAGCAATAAAAAATGGCTTAGGCTAAAATGAGGACTTTCTTTTAAAATAAATCTTATTCCCTGGCTCCTACCAAAGATAAATCAGAAAAATCTAAAACAAGCAAAACTCTTCTTTCAAATCAGTGGCTTCCAACTTGGTTACCACTAGAAAAGAAGTGGAAGGCAAGGCAAATAAAAATTTGCAAGTTCTAAGTCCTAAAGTTAGCACTTATGAGTGGCAAAGCTTGTGATGTGGTGGGAAGTGATGGCCAGGGTGGGATGCAGGAGAGCCAGGACACATGG